GTGTGTGTGTGTGTGTGTGTGTGTGTGTGTGTGTGTGTGTGTGTGTGTGTCTAAGATTGCTGTTAGTTCTGACTTCCTTAGCTCTGCCAGTATTCTGGTCTACCACAGAAGTCATTCTTGCCAGGAATATTATAGGTAGGGGATATACTAGATGATCTCTGAGGTCCTGTCCAACTCTTAAGCTTCTGTGATCTGCTCATACCGATTTAACCTTCTCCCAAATCTTCAATAGAGGAGTCCTGACATGATCACTTTCACCCTCTCCAAAGGAGGAGCTCTTCTAAGGTAGCATCTGGCATATATCATAATGGGTTGCTAAGCCTTGCAAGAAAGCAGCAAGTGTCCCAACTGCTCTGGCCCCCAGCTGTCCTGTGACACCTTCTCTTCCCATTTCTCCCACTTTTCCAAATCACATGTTTTCTTTTCCAGCTTTAAGCTGGTGTTTATTTAAGGACAGATCTTGCCACCTGGGAGGGTGTGGCATTCAGAGCACCTGGGGCTTGATCAGCCCATACTTCCCTGACACCTCAGCCTTTCTCTGACTTTCCCCAGTCTCTAATCCTTCTCTCATCTCCTGACCTAGTTCTGAAGCTCTTTCTTCTTGCTCTTTTTCCTCCCATCAAGGACTCTATCTTTCCTAATAGTTCATAGTTCATCTGTAATTTGACATTTAGGATCTGATCTTTGGGAGAGCCTGGGAGGAGGGGTGTGGAAGAGATAAGTTCACCCTAGGATGTTGCTAAAATTAGAACAGAGAAAATTCAGAGATTAAGTAGTACAATTTTCTCATATTACAGATAAGAAAATTTAGGTCAAGAGAAGGTAAAGGATTTGTGCAAGGTCACATAGCTAGTTAGTGGCAGAATCAGGATTCAGAACTCAGGTCTACTGATTCCCAGCCTAGAGTTATTTCCAACATACAATCCTGCCTTCCTGCTCCCAGTCTATAAATCATTAACATGTAGGTATACTGACTCCTGCAGGCTTGGTCTGTGTAGGATTTCCCTCATCCCTACCAACTTTCTACAACCAGACTTGGTGGTGGTGGGTGGGGGATGGTTCTTCCAGTTGAAGAAATACTATTGATGACAGTGATACTTTGGATTGCTGTGGAACAACAGAGCTCAGAGGGTCCTTGTTGAGAGGGGATGGTCAGGGGCTTTGTAGTCAATGGTCCCCTCCCCAACCATGCTTTATCTCTCTTTTATCAATCCTTTTCTTTTCCTTGAGGAGACTCTCTTTTCCTGCTCTTTCCTGAATCTCTCTCATTCAAAAACTGGTTTGGGAGTGGGAGCTATGTGCAGAAGTTGTGCTGGGTGCCTTCTCTCAGAGAATTTATAATCTGATGGAGTATATAATACTGCCTGCTTGAAAAGTTAACTAACAAGGTGAAAGTTTTAAGTTGCTGGAAATGATTTTCCCACCCAAATGCCACTTTGTGCCTGTCATTGGCACTTACGGTTCTAAAATATACTTATTACATGTCTTCACTCCAGCTAGATTGTAAACTCCTTGAGGGTAGGGACCAGTATCTTGTTCCTCTGTTTTGCTGTTGCTTAGCAGAGTGAATCAACTCAATTGTTTGTTCAATTGAATTAACTGTGAGTTGTCAAATAACAAGCAAACAAATGGTGCCAGACAGTAAGTACTCCAGGAGATCAGAGGAGAGAAGTGAGAGGCTCTTCTTGTCCCCAGCCCAATTCCCATTTCCTTTCCCTGGCTCCCCTCTTCCTCCTCTAACCCTGTTCTCTCTCCACTGCTAAGGAATTACTCCCAGTTTCATCACCCCATCTATGGAAACTGTTATACCTTCAATGGCAAGAATAACTCCAACCTCTGGATGTCCTCTACACCTGGAATCAGTAACGGTAAGAGACTCTTCCCTAGGCCTTCTCTCCATTCTTCTATTCAGCTACTCCTATTCCTCACATCTTCTCCTGTTTTCCTCAGTCCATATGCTAGGTTTCCTCAGCTGGATTCTTTTTCCCTTAGTTGCAGTTCATAGCAAACCCAATCCATTCTAGAGGGGTGCCATCTTGGATTTTTCCCTCTTTCCTTTGAGTTATATGCCAAATTCATCACAAAACTGATAGAATCTGGTTCCAATTGTTATTACTGATTGGTATTATTTCCTGAGTGTCTGTGACAATTGTTCACAAATCCTGTGACCCTCTTGACTCCAGTTCTTCCTGACCTTATTCCCTTAAATTTTGGGCAGCTGGAAAAGATTGGAATGAGGCAGAGATGACTTCCTTCCCCTTAGTTATTAGTGCCACATTCTCCTTTTCTTAAATTCCTTCTTGCCTTGCCAACCCTTCTAGGTCTGTCCCTGACACTACGAACAGAGCGAAATGATTTCATTCCTCTGCTGTCCACAGTGACAGGGGCCAGGGTGATGGTGCATGGGCAAGATGAACCAGCATTCATGGATGATGGTGGCTTCAACATTCGACCAGGAGTGGAGACATCTATCAGCATGAGAAAGGCATGGGCACTATGTCTAGAGCCTTGGGTATGGGGTGGGAGGAATATAGGAAGAAGAGGGAGGAAGGTTCTCAGAGATATGAAAGGCACAGATGGCAGCAAGATGTCTGGGAAGGGACTCAGCAATAACTCTTGGTGTCAGAGCATGGAGGGAAAGGGGAAGAATTGTGTCTCCTCAATGACAAATTAAGAGTAGGTTGGAGTATAGGGTTCCTATAGAATGAGTATATGGAATGTGGGGTCTACTAGGAGTTGGGGATCCTGAGGAGCAGGAATCAGGGACATGGTTATCCTAGGGATTAGGAACTGGCATTAAGGGGCATTCTGATAATCAGATGCAAATGGTGTAACTATTGGTACTTGGAGACTGGGAGGGAAGAAAGCCTCTGGAGGACCTGAGAAATATAGGGAGCTGGATATTGGGATGGCCACTGAAAGACATGAGAATTTGTTAGTTGTCATGGGATTGTGGGGGCTAGTAGATTTAAGTGTGAGCCCTGAGGATCCAGCCAGGAAGAACTGAGCACTGGGGTAGGGGAAAGGCTAACTGTTTTGACCTAGACCTTTCTGGGTTTGGGTGGGGTGGACAGGAAACCCTGGACCGACTTGGGGGTGACTATGGGGATTGTACCAACAATGGCAGCAGCGACGTCAAAGTCAAGAACTTCTATTCTTCCAAGTATACACAGCAGGTGAAATCCCAGTTTGATGATTCCCCTCTCCCATCCTTCTCACATCTTCTAGGTCAGTTCAAGACTCAGTAGCCAGGGCCATCCTACCCTTCACCAGATTATTATGAAGTGTGGTGGTACATGGTGCAGAGGACTGTTTGCCCTTTCCTTCCTCTCCTTTTCTCCTTGGGGTATCCTAGTGGGGTTGTCACTAGGGGAGGGATGTAGTCCACAGTCTGAGCTCCTTTCCTTCTGCACTCTCTTTTTCCCCCAGGTGTGTGTCCACTCCTGCTTCCAGGAAAATATGATCCAGAAGTGTGGGTGTGCATATATGTCCTACCCAAAGCCCGATAAAGTAGAGTTTTGTGACTATAAGAAGCACACAGACTGGGGTGAGCCACTTGTCCCCTTTTTGGCTTTCGCACAGGGGTCCCATAGGGATATCTTCCCTTGACACTCTCTCCCTTCCCTTTTGTCTCTCCCTGTTCCTTGACAGCTTGTCCCTCCCCTTTGGTCTCTTATCTCTCACTTTCATAACTTTAGTCTTGGCGTTTCCCCCTATCTCTATGTGTTTGGCTCTGTTCTTGTTCTACTTTCTTTGAGTCTCTGTTGTGGTCTCTCTGTGTTTATGAGCTTTCTCTTTTCTCAATCACCTGTTCTGTCTCTGGTTTATTGTTTCTCTTTCTGGATCTCTGTTTTTGATTCTGTTTTCCTCCTGATCTCTGATGCTCTGTCTAGGTTTCTCTCTTGGTTTCTGTTTGGGTCTCAAAGAATGTAAGGGTTGTTAGGAACTCAGAGATCCTCCAATCTGACTTGCAATTCAACAAGAATCTCCTATATAATGCAAATCTCACAGAATATTAGAGCCCAAGGCAGCTTTAGAGGTCATTTAGTCCACTTTTGTCCAGTCAGTTGACAAGTGTTGATTAAGCCCTTAATATGTGCCAAGGACTGTGCTAAATAAAGACAAAACTGAGGCTCCAAGAAGGTGTGACTTACCCAATCAAGGTCACACAGACAGATTGCAAATGGCAGCCCTGGTCATTCATCTTCCACTTGAAAACCTCCAGTGAAGGGGAAGGACCCATAGCTCATCCCACTTTTGGCCAGCTCTCGAGCTCAAATCCATCTCTGCAGCTTTTCCTCTTCCTACTAGTTCTGCCCTCTAAGGCTAAGCAGAACAGGTCTGCAATTCTCCCAAATGATGGCCTTTTGAATACTTGAAGACAGCTATCATGTTCTTGATAAGTCTTCTCCAGGCTGAATATTGCCAGCTCCTTTTACAACATAGTCTCCCTTCACCATCCTGATTGTCTTCCTTAGGAGGAAATCAGAACTGGACACTGGGCTCCAGATGTCCAACCATGGCAGAGCACAGTGGGACTATTATTACCCCCTCAGAACATTATGCCTCTCTTAATACAGCTTAAGTAGCTTTAGCTATTTATATCATGAGAGATATGCTATATGATACTATTATAGCATTGACTTATATTAAGCATGAAGTCAATGAAAACCCCTAGATTGTTCCAATCAGCACTGTTGTCTGGCTATGCTTCTCCCATCCTATAGTTATGTAGTTGGTTTTTTAAACCCAAGTATAGAGTCTGCATTTATCCCTATTAATTTTGAAATTTTATTTCAGTAAATTCAATCCATTGCTCTGCCCTATTGAGATCTTATTCCTTTGTTTGATGTTATCTCCCTTTGGGTCTTTATTTCTTTCGTTCTTCTCCTCTGCCCCCTCTTCCTCCTCCTCCTCCTCCCTCTCTCACCCCCTCCTCTCCTTCCCTCCCTCCTCCTTCTTCTTCTTTTTTTCTTCTCCTTCTCCTTCTCCTTCCCCCTCCTCTTCTCCTTCCCATTTTTCTTTCTCTTCCTCCTCTTCTCCTTCCTCTTCCCCCCATTATTGGACCTTATCGATCCATCAATAACCAAGCATTTATTGAGTGCATACTTTGTGCCAGGTGCACTGGAGAATCAAAGACTAAAACAAAACAATGCTCACTCAAAACAGAGGTTATACTCGGTCAAGTGAAACAGTGTGTTCTCATGGGAGAGAATCACTAGTAGGTGAAGGATCAAGGAAAGACTAGCATAGAAAGCAGCACTTAAGTTGAACTTGAAGCAAGCTAGTGATTCTAAGGAGTGGAAGTGAGGAGCAAATACATTGCCAGTTTGGGGGTGGGGGTGAGGGGCAGCCTGTGAAAAGACATGGAGATGGGAGGAGCAACGTGATGTAGAAGGAATAGAAAGTAGGCCAGTGTTGCTAGCATGTAGAGCTCATGAAGAGGATATATTACAATATAATATAACACAATATATTAATATAATAACATGACAATAATACCATGTAATATACCATGCCATACCATATACCATATAATAATATAATGTATTAACACTATAATGTATTAATATAATGTAACATATCA